AGCAGGAGCAGGAGAAGCAGCTACTGATCACCGCACTTGCCCGGGCAAAAAGAGCTGAAAAGGCCGCTCAGGATGCTGGGCGGAAAGTCGAATCTGAGAAGATTGCAAAGAAGAAGGCCATTGCGCAGCAGGTTGAACTGGAAGAAGAGTTACGGAAAGCTTTGGCTTCTTTGGAGCAGATCCGGGGAGAGAAAGCCAACACCCAGGAGGCTGAGTTGAAAGACCAGAAGGATCTGAAGCGAGCAAATGGCAAAGTGGACGACCTGGAGCAGAAGGTCTTAGAGGTCAAGAAGCTTTTAGAAGTGCAGACCAGCCAGACAAACAGTGCTGAGGCCAATGCTACCCAGGAGATGGAGGCAATCCTTCGAATGAGGCGGAAGGTCGTAGAGTTGGGGCAAGACTTGGAGGCTGCAAAGCAAGAAGTGGCTCATGCCAAGAAGAAAACATCTAAGGCCCAAAAGCTCTGGGAGGAAGCGGAACAGGACCTTCAGCTTACCACAGCTGCACTGGGCAACCGAACAGAGCAACGCGACGCTGCACGGAAAGCAGATCGTGAGGCGACACAGGAGTTGCATAGACTACAGGAGTCCTTGCAGCATGCGCACCAGCGCACAGATGAAGCAGAAGGAGAAGTCCGGAAAGCAAAGAAACAAGAGACGGCCCTGAGAGAAGAGCTGCAGAAGGAAAGGACACATGCTAAAGAAGAAGGTCACCAAGCATGGTCAGCTCAAATGAATGCAAGCAGGGAGCAACGCACAGCAGACTTGGAGCAACAAGCCCTGGAAGCCACCAGAAAGAAGGAGGCTTGGTTGAAAACCCAGCTCTCTGCAGCGCGAAGTCATTTGGAAGCGGAAGAGCAGCAAGCCAATTCCTCCCTGGTGAAGTTGAGGCAGACGATCATGACCATAGAGGCTGAAAAGAAGCACGCAGAAATGGAAGCCAAAGTAGAAAAAGCGGATTCCAAGAAAAGAGAGAGCTTCGACAAGGAGCAGTTGGCTGGTGCCAATGCAACCATCCGAGCTCTCAAAGTTCAACTGGATGCAAGGAAACGAGCTGTGCATGAGGCACTCTTGAACATCAGCGCTGTAAGGGAGACATCGAAGGAGATCCAAGAGAAGTTAGAGGCTGCGCAAGACAGGGAGAGGAACTTGACACGAGAACTTCATGCGCTGGTCAAGGCAGCGCAAGTGGCCGTGAGCAACGAGCGCAAGGCCGAAAAGGATGCTGCCCAAAGCAAGGAGCATGTTGAAGATGCTGAGGCAAAAGCTGGTAATGCCACCAAGAAGAAAGAGTTGGCCATGGCAGCTGAGCGCCGAGCTAAGGATCAAGAAGCCAAATCACTGAAAGCCATGGAGGTGTTGAAAGCCGAGCTGCAACAGGCACGAGGGGTGGCACGAGCAGCCAATGAAAGCAAGCTGCTTTGGGAGAAGGAACTGCAGAAAGAAAGGCTTCAAGAGGCATCAATGAATCGCAGCCTCGAAGCGATGCATAGAAACGCCAGGAAGGAAGAAGGGCTACTTCGACTCACCAAGACCAAGGCCACTCGCAATGAAGCTGAGCTGAACAAGACTTTGCAGGCTGCAGCAGCAGCACTACGAGAGGCACACAAACAAGTGAAGATGTCAAATGTCACAATAGCAAGAGATCATGCACGACTAGAAGCTGAAGAAAAAGGCAACAAACACAAAGCGGAACAACTGCGGAAAGAGAGGCATGAAGAAGCAAAGATGAACAGCAGCCTGGAATCCATGAAGAAAGCTGCTGAACAGAAAGAAGGGCTGCTACGCCGGGCCAGGGTGAATGCCACGCACAATGAAGCCAAGATCCTGGATCTGGAGAAGAAAGTGAAGCTGGAGCAGGCATTGCATGGAAACGCCACCAAGGAGTTGGTGTCCCTTTCGCAGAAGTTGAGGCAGGCAAGAACAGAGCAGCTCAAAGCTGAGCAAGTAGCCGAGAAGGCCAAGGCGCAGGAAATCTCCGCCCAACATGCCAAGCACAATGCAACGAAAGAGGAGGGCTTGGCAATTAAAAGGGCAACAGAGCTGGAGAAGAAGATGCAGACTGCCACTGCAGCCCTAAAGCAAGCACGACAGAAACTGCAGGCAGCAGAAGATGAGGTGAAAAGGGGGAATGAGACCATCGCAAGAGATGAGGCGCAAATAGCAGCTGATTTGAGAAGCAAGAAGGAGGCAGAGGAAGCAGCAAGCAAAATGGTCAAGGCTTTGGCGGTGCTAAGAAGACGAAGAAAAGAGGACACGGCTTTGATGGAAAAGCATGAAGACAACCTAACCCATGAGCTGAAAGAAGCGCTTACTGCTGAAGACCTTGCCAAGACTCGTGAGCAGCACGAGAAGGAAAAGGCTCTCAAAGAGAAGAAGGAGCATGTGCTCATTTATGGACCCTTTTTTATCCCTTTTCTATCTTTTTCTGAAAGGGCCTTGAACGGGCCCTGAGCGTTTTCCACTAAGGGAAGGTAAATGGTTTCAATGAAACTCATCATTCCAAGCTTTGGTCTTTTGTAAGGTTCATCCCTGCAGAATCAGAATCGCCTGCATCAAGTCATGAGGGAACTTCATAGGACTTATCTTTTTCAAAGACACACAAGCTCTAAGATGTTTGATGATTTTGGTGTTGGGGACCTTACCTGCAAGGAGTTGCAGGAGGCCTTGCGTTCATTGCAGTCCTCCCAGTCAGAGCTCCAGAAGCTGCGCCAGTCGGCTCAGCCCAACCGCAGCGCCATGGAACTGGCGCAGCGCGCGGCCGCCGCCGCGCGGGAAGCGCTGCGCCACGACCACAGTCGCGCGGTGGCTAAGGAGGCGGAGCTGGCGCAGCTGACGGAGGAGGTGCTGCAGCTGCGGAAGGAGGAAGCGGAGAAGGAGAAGGGGAAGGCTCAGCATGGCCAGCAACGCAGTGGGCGCAGTGAAGTATCCAAGGGAGCCAAGACCTACAACGTATTGTTTATAGATATTTATAGATCACATATATAATCATATATATATATATATAATAAGTATGCTTTTAAATTGGCCGGGCGTTCTTGTTTGGCCAAGGAGATGGTGACGTGGCTTGAACAATGTGCACACACTTGTCAACATGCTTAGGACGCAGTTCAGGACAATTGTCCAATACTTCACGCCAACAAACAGGCATCCTTTTGGAGAGATCTTGTCGTTGTAGGTCCAGAGTGAAGGCATAGGAAGGCGAAGATTAGGCCTGTCAACGTTTGGTGTTTGTCACCTTTGTCACTTACCAGGCGCAGGAGAAAGACCTAAAGAAAGCTGCGCAGGAGAAGGCCGCAGAGGCCATGCGCGAAGCAAAAGCCAAGAACGCTGCCTTAGCAAATGCGACATTGGAAGAGCAGGTGTGCAACTCAGATCTCCGCATTTCTGCAAGTTATTTGCTACTCGTAGCCACAACCGCTGGCTAGACATGAAGCCGGATGGGATGGCCTCAGGGTTCGTTGGTCATGAGGTGCAGGATAAGCAGATAGCTTCCCTTAAGCGCAGCCTTCGCCGCGCCAAAGAGAGGGAGGCAGTGATTCGGGATTGGCTGGAAGACACATGACAAAACCTATGAACACATTTTCATCCAAGCTTGATCCAAAAGTCAAACATTTGCATCCTGTATGTTTGCAGCATTTGCAAAGTCCCATAGGCAGCCGTGTTCGCGCTGCTCCATGTTTGTCCGAAGAAATGGGCCAGGTGTTGCTGCTGCCAGCACTGCTTTGCTTGGTGCTGGTCTTTGGACTGGCGTTCTGCTTATTAAGGCGGCACTTCATGGCCAAGCGTACGCAGCAGTATGTCGCTCGGCCCATGGGAGAAAATAGCATGGAAAAACAAGGAAACTGGTCATGGAGAGAGATGAGAGAACTTCCAAAACACAAACACTGTGCGCGCTCGACATTTGCATGGGCCAAGAGTTCCGATGCTGCATTCTGAGCCCCAAGGACACCATCCTGCATTTGAGCGTGGAGCGCCTAAAGGCAAGCGGAACCGTTCATGCGAGCACGTGTGAATGCCAGTGCATAAAGAAATCCAACAACATCAATTGGAATAACCAGGCTGGAGGTGGAGGCCATCGCTAGTACTAGGTTGGAGGCCATCCCTAGTAGGTTGGATGCCATCCCTTAGTAGGTTGGGGTGGATGCCATTTCTAGTAAGTGGGAGTGGGAGGCCATCGCTACTAGTAACTCAAAAGAAGCCGGTTTCTTTTTCTTAACCTTTGAAGCTAACAGTGCAGAGGCCCTGAAGATGCTGGAGGAGGCCACCAAGCCCCTGCTGTCCAATGGGCGGGCACAGGCCCAACGCGCTCATTGACCAAGACATCCGAAAACGGAGCCGTCACCTCTGGGTGCCTTCCGGTCGCAGTCTCGTGGAGAGTTGTCCTGCGGTATCTTGTTTCTAATAGCAAACCTTGTTACTACTAGTAAGGCACTTGTTA